GTATTTTTCTCAAAGTAATCTATAATGAAGATGAAATTTTTTAAAAAATATTTTATTTCCTATTTTTATTTTATGTGTGTGTATTGCCTACATGTAGGTAAGTGCACCTGTGTTGTGTAATGCCCACAGAGGACAGAAGAGGCTGTTGGATTCCCTGGAACTGGAGTTATGGACAGTTGTTAGCTGCCATGTGGGTGCTAGGATTTGAACCCGGGTCTTCTGCAAGAACAGTCAGTGTTCTTAACCACTGAGCCATCTCTAAAGCTCTGGAGATGAAATATTTTAAGAGAGTGCTTCTCATTTGATTTAACCAACATGATCAATACACGTCATGGAAACGTGGTCAATATAAAGAAAAACATTCTGTTAATATAAGAATACAAGAATAAAATTCCCTCCCCCTGGTAATTCATGGATTTTCAGTGGTATATCCAGACTCTAAATATCTCACCTATAACCAAGGAATAAAATGATTATAAAGTTGCACAAGCTTTTGCCTTAAATGGAGTAATTTAGTCTATAAAGGAATGATTAGCAAACCAGAAGCAGCATACCCTGGTCAACTAAGGTAAAGGAGCAGAAATAAACTAGAAGATGTCCAACTTGATTTCTGTAACGTCCCTACTAACAATATGTCAGTGTAGGAAGGCAGTCTAATTTAATGTCTAAGTAAATTATATCAATAGAATAAAAAGTAAAATAACCTCATGATGAACACATTTAACTCCTGATAGTGTAACTACTTAGAAAATTGTGTGGGGGCTGGAAAGATGACTCAGCAGTTAAGAGCACTGGCTGCTCTTCCAGAGGACCTAGGTTCAGTTTCCAGCACCCACATGGTGGCTAACTACTATCGAGGACTCCAACTCCAGGGGATCCAATGTCCTCTTCTGGCCTCCATGGGCATGGTAGGCACAGGTGCATTTATATACAAGCAGACTAAACACTCTTCACCTCTTGCCTCCAAACTGCTGGGAATAAAGGGCATGCATGTGCCACCACACCTGGCCTTATTTTCTTTAAAAAAAAAAAAAATATATATATATTTTTTGGAGACACGGTCTAACTATGTAGACCACGCTATATAGACTAGGTTCACCTCCAACACAGAGATCTTCCTGCCTCTGCTTTTGTACCAAGATTTAAGGCATGTGCCACCATGCCTGGCCTAGAATATGTGATCTTTTTTTTTTCCCAAAAAAATATTTTGATATTTTTATTTTATGTTTATGCATGTATTGCCTGCATGTAAGTAAGCGCACCTGTGTCGTGCAATGCCCATGGAGGATAGAAGAAGCTGTTGGATCCCCCTGGAACTGGAGTTATGGACAGTTGTTAGCTGCCATGTGGGTGCTGGGATTCAAACCAGGTCTTCTGCAAGAACAGTGTTCTTAACCGCTGAGCCATCTCTCCAGCCCTGAGTATGTGATCTTATTTTTTTTTTAATTTGTTTTTATTTTATGTGTTTGAGTGTATTGCCTGCATGTATGTAAGTGCACCCATGTCATGCAGTACCTGGGAGGACAGAAGACAATGTTGGATCCCCTGGAACTGGAGTTACGGACAGCTGTTAGCCACCATGTGGGTGCTGGGATTCCAACCTGGATCTTCTGCAAGAACAAGCAGCGCTCTTAACCACCGAGCCATCTCTCCAGACCCCAGAATATGTGATCTTTAAAAACTGCTTTTTGAATTGGTGGTATGTTTCATTTAAAAACTAACTGGGAGGGCCAGGCATGGTGGCGCACGCCTTTAATCCCAGCACTTGGGAGGCAGAGGCAGGCGGATCTCTGTGAGCTCAAGGCCAGCAGGACAGCTGGGGCTACAGGGAGACCCTGTCTCAAAAAGACTGGGGGGAAAAAAAAAAGAGTGCTTCTCTGGCTGTTCTTGCAGAGGACCCCAGCTTGGATTTCAGCACTCATGTTGGACAGTTCACAACCACTTCTAACTCTACTCTAGGGAATCTGATTCCCACTTCTGGCCTCCAAGGACACTCACACACACATGATACCTACACATAAATAAAAATAAGTCTTTTTTACAAAGGCAAAAAACAAAACAAACTATACCAATCAATATCTTAAGAACAGTTACAAAGGTCATGGAATAGTAGAAGAAGGAAATAATATGAAGATATTATATACACACATATAGTGATTAAAATTACTTCGGTATAGGACTTGGAGCAATTGAGCTGGAAGTGACCTGGAAGCGTCTCCCTGAAGACTAGCTCTCATAGTATCAGAAGATACTATGTAAGCTGCCAAGGGAGAAAACCAATCAATGATCCTACCCAGCTGTAAAGTCTGCAAACTACAACACTGACCAGACCAGCAAACTGTTGGTACAGTAGTGGCATTTTGATCTCTGGGGCAATTAATAGCTGTCTAATTGGACTTCAGGCTGGCTCAAGAGAAGGGAAATCATGCATGGTATTACAAACATAGCCAAGTACACGAGTGATGAGGTCACAGACCCTAGAGGAGAACCTACCTCTGTCACTTTCCTAGACCAAAGTAATTTTTTACTATATCCTTATAATTACCAACATGTGTACTTTCCACCATTCACCAAAGCAGCTCTTTTTTTTTTTTTTTTGCAACTGATAGATATTTCAAAGTTCTACAACTGGTCAAACACTGAGAGTAAGTGACTATGAAGTGCCCAGCCCTAACTGACACATCCACAATGCAACCTCTTCACCTACGACTGAGAGAACATAGAGGAAGAAGGAGCTGAAAGAGAATGTAAGAGCCAGAGAGACAAGACACCTGCTGCTAGTTAATACATTCTAGACACAATAGGGAAGCTGTATTCACTCATGAAATCTTCATAGTATAACAGTCCAACAAGATCTGCATGACAAAACCAGCTGACACACCAATTTGGATAGGGTAAATTCCATGGGCCCTCACCTCAAAATAAAGAGCTACAAGCAATCAATGGATGCTGAAGGAGGGAGAATCAGTTTTCTCCAGGGACTAGCTAGCTACCTGAGAGCCCTAAATACAGGCACACATGAGCAACACTAAATAGACTCAGTGCATTTTGTGTGTGTTTGAGTGTATCAACGTATGGAATGTTTGTATATGTAACAATTTAATAAAGAGGACAAAAAATTGAGAGGGAATGTGGGGGGAAATGGGAGGAGTTAGTAGGGGAGTAGAAAGGATGGAAATAATGCAAAAACAATCCTCATGTATAAAAATTCTCAAAACTTAAAAATTTAAAATTAAATTAAGGGGCTGGAGAGATGGCTCAGCAGTTAAGAACACTGGTTGTTCTTGCAGAAGACCCAGATTCAAATCCCAGCACCTACATGGCAGCTAACAACTGTCTGTAACTCCAGTTCCAGGGGATCAGACAGCCTCTTCTGTCCTCAGCGGGCATTGCACGACACGGTTGCACTTACCTACAATGCAGGCAATACACTCATACACATAAAATAAAAAAATAAAACTATTTAAATTAAAAAAATAAAATTACTTTAAGAAATATAAAGTATAAGCTGGAGAGATGACTCCACTTGCTGCTCTTTCAGAGAACCGGAGTTCAGTTCACAGCACCCATGTCAGTGGCTCATAGCCACCTATAACTCCAGTTCCAGGGGATGTGACATACTCTTTTCCAGCCTCCAAAGGTACCTGCATCCACATGCACATACACATACACATAAACAGTAAAATAAATGTTTAAAAATAAGAAAGAAATTAATAGGAAATACACAAAAATAATGGTAACTGTATTCTGATGGATGAAATGACTATGAGTAATTATTCTTCCTTCTACTATATTATGCCTTAAAAGGGGCTAGAGATGGCTCAGTGATTAAAAGTGTGCACTGCTCCTGCAGAGGACCCAGGTTCCATTCCCAGGACCCACATCTGGTAGCTCACAAGCTCACAACAGCCTCTAACTTCAACTCCAGGGGGGATCCAATGCCCCTTCCTTTCATGAGCACTGCACTCAAATGTACATACTCACACATAGAAATACATAATTAAAAATAAAAATAGACAATTTTAAAAGTATATATGCACACACACACCAATTCCAGCACATATGAGGCAGAGGCAAGCAGATACAGACCAGTCTGGCCAACATAGCAAATTCCAGGCTAGCTAGGGCTACATAATAAGACCCTGTCTCAAAAAAGAAACCCAAAGGAAAAAAAAAAACAAAATCTCCCCAGCAACCAAAGAGGGATGGGGAGATGGCTCTGTAGGTAACGTTCTTGCTATGCAACTGTCAGGAATGGAGATCAGATTATCCCTAGAACATCCCAACTGTAATCCTATCACACATGGAGCAGAGACAGGGAGCAAGCTGGCTAGCCAGACTAATTAAAATGGAGACCTCTACAATCAGCAAAAGACCCTCAGTATGTGAAGTGAGGAGCAATCAAGGAAGATACCTGATGTCAACCTCAGTCTTACACACACTTACACGCGCACACACACACACACACACACACAGAGTTAGGTGTAGTGGCTGACACCTGTAATCCCAACATTCCAGAGGTTGATGCAGGAGGATTGCTGCAACTATAATGTCAGCCTGGGCTACATGGTGAGTTTCAGAACAGCCTGGGCTACACAGTGAGACTGTCTCAAACAAACGAAAAAAATGTATTATGGGGGCTGGAGAGATGGCTCAGCAGTTAAGAGCACTGACTGCTCTTGCAGAGGACCTGGGTTCGATTCCCAGCAGCCACAAGGTGGCTACGAACCATCCTTAACTCCAGTTCCAGGGGAATCCGACGCCCTCTTCTGACCTCCACGGCACTTCATGACACGGATGCACTCACATACATGCAGGCAATACACTCATGCACATAAAATAAAAAAAAAATTAAAAAAATATTTTTAAAATGTATTATGTATAGTTTTTAAAATTGCTATACTAATCAATCTACCCCAAATCCTCTTTTCCACTGTATCTTGTCTCCTAAAACAAACCAAAAAACATACACATGCAGCACATAAACCCACAGTACTTACATGGGCTTACATCTCTGTATCTGTTTCGATTTCTGTTTTCTGGAAACTTGGCCACTCTATGAGGATAGTCATGGGACTCATTTCGAATTTCCTTAAAAATAACAAAAATACATTTTAATATCCCTCTTAAATTTTATACAGAAACATATTCTCCCAGCCAGAATAGAATAAAATTTATTAAGCACGTATGCTACGTCAAGACAAAGCACTGTCTATGTCATCTCAACTCTCATAACACTAATGGAACCAATTCTCTTACCCACTTTATTTTTAGTGTATGAGTGTTTAATTTGAATGTATATTAGTTCACTATCTGTATGTCATGCCTGCGGAGGCCAGAAGATGACATTGGATCCCCGGGAACTGAAGTTATAGATGTGTTTTAGCCACCATGTGGGTGCTCGGAACTGAACCCAGATCTTCTGCAAGAACAGCCAGTGCTCTTAACTGCTGAGCCATCTCTCCAGCATTCTTCCCCATTTTACACATGAGGGATGACACACTTTAACAAATTAAATAATTTGCTAAAAATCAAGCATCTAGTAAGTGGCAGCCCAGGACCAAATCAAGGTACTTCAGACACTGAAGTCTGTGCTCTTTATCTACTCACTGCTTATTATCATTCTACTAAAAACCTACAAACAAGCAGGAAAACTCTTTATGTAGCAGAATTAATGCAACAGAGTAATCTGACACATCACATTTAAATTCTGAGTCAAACTCTCTTACTAAATTTTAGAGGTTCTATTTTAAAATTCTTATGTATTTCTTCACTTACAGGCCACATATTTGTTACTTCTGAGCAGAAACACACACACACACACACACACACACACACACACACACACACACTCAGAAGGGAGTAGGGATTAAGTTCAGTGGTCAATTGGTTTCTAAAGCCATAAATGGTTAGTAACATCAGGTAGACTCACTTCAGGACCCTTAAGGTTCTCTGTACTCCAAAGGATATCTGTACTAGCAGTAGGCTACTCGGGTATTCAGCATGTCCAATATTATCCACTGAATGAAACATTATGTCAATATGTCATCAGGTCAAACAAAACCCCATCCCTCCAAAATAACCAGAAAAGCATGCTACCATGAAAATGTAGTGTTTGTTAATGCTACTAAAAGAGAACACATTAAAAAAATTAAAATTAGCTAATAAATCTTAGACATTTAACATAAACTACTGATTTCTGGATGAATAGCCTTTCTGCGGGTTTTGCAAACATCCATAAGCCTTAGGATAGATCACTTTCTAGTTCCTGTATTTACTCACTGGCCTTCAGTGAAAAGTCAAAATATTTTCAGCGTATTTTGTTAAACTTTCACCTAATTTTAAAGATCCCTAAACTCACAAATTAGTCCCTAGCAAGTTTTATCCTGGGAAAATAAAACAATTGAGATACATAATTTACATCTTTTGTAATAATTTTGGGCATAATATGATGCCTGTAACTACAATTACACCATAAACCACACAAATTGAGTATTCTAAGTTTTAAAAGATTTTTTTGTAATAAAAAATTTTCATTAGCCTTTCCAAAGCGAAACTACTGTTGACTTCATTATTTTATCATTTATTTTCTATTTCATTATTTTTACCCTGTGTTTGTCTCTCTTTCGGTTGCTTTGATTGATATTTTATAACCCCTTCCTTTCGGAAACTTTAAAAGATGGAGCATAATGGCCAAGCTTTAACCTGAACTAAATTTTTCTGAAGTGGACAAAATATAAAACACTATTATCAGCCTGAGGTGTGCAAGAGCAATCTAATTTTATTCTTTTCAAAGTTACTCACCTTAATACCATCATTAGTTTTTACATTTATTAGTTATAGCTGATCCACCAAAAATCATTCTATTTCAAAGAATTGTTTACCCAACAGTGGCAGGTGGAGCTCTGTGAGATCAAGGTCAGCCTGGTCTACAAAGCAAGTTCCAGGTCAGCTGGGACTACAAAAAGACCTTCTCTGATTTCCAGGCCAGCCAGCATCACATAGTGCAACCCTGTCTCACAAAATAAAATAAAAAAATAAATAAAATTAATAAAATAAAATAAAAAATAAATAAAATAAAATAACCTATTGGTGCTGGGTGCTATGGCACACACCTTTAATCCCAGCACTCTGGAGGCAGAGGCAGGTGGATCTCTGTTGAGTTCAAGGCCAGCCTGGTCTACATAGCGAGTTCTAGGCCAGCTAGGGCTACAGGAACACCCTGTCTCAAAAGACCCCCCCCCAAAAAAACCTGTTGGTGATGCTCTAACGGAGACAAAATAATGGGTAAAGGATAGGACTGCCTCCATGACACCTTCAATCAAATTCTTCAATTCTGTTCCACACACCCCCATTTTCCACTGTGAAGCTCATCTGTCATTGCTAGTCATTTTTAAGCCTAGAGAAACAAAACTATTTGTGTACACTATAATGAACAATTACTGATGTTGCAAAAAACTGTAAGATGGTAGGAGAGCAAGTATAGCAGGACTTAAGTTTATAAAACTCAATGGAACAGGTCTTCAGCTTAGTCTTCACAAAGTCTTCAGCTCTAAGAAACAGTTATAATACATTTTCTTTTCTCAGCTAACAGTACAAAAAGAATTCTTGTAGTGAATACATCCTCTCAGATTTCCAATACTGCCGTTTGTTCTCCTTGTCTTTAATTTTAGCAAATATAAGACCAGAAAGCTCAGTACTTTAAAGAGCAGCCCCAGAGACCCACACTAGTAACACATTCTTTCTTCAAAGGTTTCCGATTTGATTTTCTGATTCACAAGACCCAGACTAAAGGCCTCCTTTACAATCTTAACAGGCCCGTGACACAATGTGGCCAATAGGAATGAGCAGACTCACGGAGTTGGGTTGCAGGAAAAGGCTTATAATGAGGAATGAAACTGGTTCAGTGACATGCACATTAATGTGCTGCTCGTAGTACCAGCTCCTCAGCTGAGGTGGAAGAGCTCTTGAATCCAGGAAGTGGAGATCAGAGTGGGCAACATAGAAAGACCAGATCCTGTCTAAACAAAACCCAAATCCAAAAAGAACACTGGCTCAACAGGTCCTTGTCACTCTCACTTGGGTCTGCCTGGAACACAGGTTTAGATGTCCAGGATAAGGGGTGTGAGTAGGCTGGAACCATCCCGTGGACAGCAGGTCAAAAAGCGAATTCCAAGAAAAGCTAAGTGAAAACAGAAGGACATCCTCAGTGGCACTAGGGATTTACAGTATAACATGCCCTAAGCTCCTATCTCCACAACTTTCATCATATGAAAAACATAAACCTGTTGTCAATTATTGCTTTATTTTCCTTCCCATGCACCTAAATCAGGTGACTTGACAGTAAAGAGCATACATGGTAACTACATCTGACACTGATACAGCGTAGTTGTTTTGGTTTTTTTTTTTTGGCAACAGCCAAGAGACACAACTTTACAAACATTTTGTACATGCAATAAAATACATGGCGTTCCTCAAAATGAGGGAAGGCGAATAATTGAGCTATTTACAAAGGCTAGGTTGCAAAACCAGCTGTACAGATATTCTGGTGCTAAAACTTTCCTCTTCTATAGCAGAGAACCCATAAACTATGCTTCTCAGTAGCTGAAGAAAGTTAGCTGTCAGCAGACTTATGCTTAAGAATCTCAGAAATACACTTCAAACACAATCATCACCATAATTTGTTTTTCATTGCAATAAATGAGACAATAAAACAATTTACAAACATCACAACATCAAGGCCTTCTTAAGGAGACATTTATAGGATCCTCAAAACAACTTGTGCTACAGGATGATCTTTGAAAAACATTCCCCCAGAGGCTCATGTATCTGAACAGACTCATGTATTTGGTCTTGTGTTGGTGGTACTGCTCAATGAGACTATGGACAACCTTTAGGATATCAAGCCTTTCTGGAAGAAGTACATCACTGGGAGTAGGCTTTGAGAATTTATAACCTTGCCCCATTTCCAGTTCTCTCTCTGCTTCCTGTGTGCAGCTGAAATGTGAGCTCTCTTTCCTGTGTTGGCCACCTGCTGCCTTGCCTCCCCTGCCATTATGGAATCTCATCTGGAGCAGTAGGTCAAATAAGTTCTTTCTTCCTTAGGTTGCTTTTGGTCATATTTTATCACAACAAAAAAGCAATACAACCTAAACATGCCTGCTCTCTGACCAAACAATTACATTCCCTATTATATCCCTTATTTCCAAAGGAAAAGAAAAGGTGCTTTAGCTCTCCACAAAAGGACATGCTTATAGATTCAGAATATCAATTTACAAGTGCAAAAACATGGATAAAAATGTAGAATAGTCACAATGGAATATGGAACAGAAATTAGAAGAATGAACAGTTAAAAAAAAAAAAAAGCAATGGGGGTAGGATTTCAGTGATACACTATGGAACAAAAGGCACACCTGAGAGCACATAGGAACAAGCAACAAACTTCAGTGGTAGGGCTGGAGAGATGGTGCAGTGATTAAGAGCTCTTGCTGCTCTTGCAGAAGACCCAGATTTAGTTCCCAGCATCCACAAGGTGGCTGTTACCCTCTTCTGGCCTCTGTGGGCACTGCACACATACCAGGTACACATATACACAGGCAAAACATTTATACACAGTAATTTTAAAAAATCCTTAAAGAAGTATTCAGTGGTAACAAAAGTCAAAATATCTACCTCTGTGGAAAAGCATGAGGGAGTATTTTGTGGTATGGGAAATAATTGTATATTGATTAGGGCAGTAATTGAAGAGATGGATACACTGAAAAAATTCACTGAACTATTTGCTTATAATTTGTAAACTTAGCCAGCCTGGTGGTGCACGCCTTTAATCCCAGCACTTTGGAGGTAGAGGCAGGTGGATCTCTGTGAGATGAAGGCCATCCTGGTCTACATAGAGAGTTCCAGGCCAGCCGGGGCTCCCCTGTCTCAAAATGACCAATAATAATAGTAATAATAATAATTTGTATACTTATAAAGCTAATTTGGGAAACTAGTTAAAATGAGTTATGTTTTTTAACTTGTTAAAAAACGAGTTATGGTATGAACTGCCTATTCTATTCCAAGACAAACCTACAGACACGAATACATATGGA